ATCGGCCTGCAGACCAGAGAGTCCTGGGTTCGATTCCCACTAGGGGCACATACCTTGGTTGCGGTTTGCCCCCGGCCCCAGTTGGAGTCATGTGGGTGGCCGCCAGTCCATGTGTCTCTCTCACATCGATGTTTCACTCTCTCTCTTCCTCCCTCTCTCCCTCCCACTCTATCTGAAGATAAATGCAAAAGTGTCCTTGGGTGAGGATAAAAAAAAAAATGGCCCTGGCCAGTTTGGCTCAGCGGTTAGAGCGTCAGCCTGCGGTCCGCAGAGACCCGGGTTCGGTTCCCGCTAAGGGCACGTACTTCGGTTGCAGTTTGTCCCCGGCCCTGGTTGGTCGTGCGGGTGGCAGCCACTCGATGTGTCCCTTCACATCGATGTTTCTCTCTCTCTCTCCCTTCCTCTCTCTCCCTCCCGCTCTATCTGTACAAAAAATGGAAAAATGTCCTCGGGTGAGGATAAAAAAAAAAAAAAAGAATGAAAATAAAATAAAACACCAGTCAGGCCTCATCACTGGGAATGCAAGATACAGACCTCTACAAAGAGAGATTCTATCAAGTAAGCAGTATGTGCATAATTCAGAATAAACTGAGGGCACATCAGTTTCTGTTGTACTCCATGACTGCCTTGATTCAAAGAAGCTTAAATCAATGGCGTGTATTTTGATCTGGTGCTGGTTACACAGATATGCTCAATTGCGAAAATTCGACAAATTGTACTCTTATGTGCATTTCTGTATGTGTGTTATACCTCTATAAACATTTTAAAAAGTAGCTTACATCATGTAAACCTCTACATAAAGAAGTAAGCATATTTTACATACCACCTACAGTAGTGTTTTTCAAACTGTTTTCAAACTATGGGTTGCCACCAATTAGTGGGCCGCAAAATCAATTCAGAAGATCCTCGCCAGCATTTTAGATTATTGTGGTAAGAACACTTAACTTGAGATGGACCCTCTTGACAAACTTTTAGGAGCACAATACAGTACTGCTAACTAGAAGCACCATGTTGCAAAGCACATCTCTAGAACGTATTCGTCTTGCATAACTGAAACTATACCCGCTGAACAGCAACTCTCCATTTCCCTCAGCCCCAGCCCCTGGCAACCAAGATACAGTAACATCTTCGATGTCCACTGATGGAAAACGAATTAAGCTCTGGCTTGTTTGCTCAATGGTTAGAGCGTGGGCCTGCAGACCAGAGTCAGGGTTCGATTCCTGTCAGGGGCACATACCTTGGTTGTGGTTTGTTCCCAGCCTTGGTCAGGGTCGTGGGAGGCAACCAGTCAATGTGTGTCTCTCTCATATTGATGTTTCTCCCTCTCTTTCTCTTTCTCTCCCTCCATACCTCCCACTCTATCTGAAGATAAATGGAAAAAATATCCTCTGGTGAGGATTAAAAAAAGAAAGAAGAAAAATGAATTAGAAATTGTGGCATATACATGCAATGGAATATTATTCAGCCTTAAAGGAAGGGATTCCTGCTATATAACGGCCAGCATTTTTTAAATGGAGTGGAGACTATCACAGTACATCACACACAGTGAAGGCAACTACTGCTTCAGGACACTTACTGCAGTTACATGTATATGTACATATACGTACAGGTGTACTAAGTTGCCAGTTTTGGTGCTTTTTTGTTTTGTTTTTAATGTAGGACATGGTCAAAATAACTCTGAGAAATGCCGAGTACACCAACAAATAATATACAGATTTGGAAGCCAGAGAGACCTGGGTTCTGATCCTGGCTGGTTATAATGTTCCTAAGCTCTGTGAGCTCCCACTTCACGCTCCCTAAAACAAGGTTATATTATTTACTCCCCAGAGTTGGTAACAATGAGCTGGCTACCAGCCCACTGCAGTGCAGTACTAGACACTGTCCCCAGCCCTCCCGCCATTTACACAGTGCCCTGGGCCAGGTTCTTTACCTGAAGGATGTATATAGGAAATATACAAAGAGGGGCAGTGCCAAGGCTGAGCCCCCATCACGTGACCCCTCCGGGCCCCTGGAGAACCAACCGCTAACATTTGAGAGCAGCAGGGCAGGGAAAAGCTATTGCCCAGCACACAGGGTGATAAATCATCTGGCTTTGGATTCTGACCAGAGGGAAAACCACTTTCCAAGATAAGAGGGTTTTCCCATTATTCTTGGCAGGAGGTGGGGAAAGGCAGGAGGGGAAGAGGCCTCGGCAAAGAAATGAGCATTTGTTTTAAGCAAATCACTTTGAAGACAGGTGGTTTTCATTTTGAGAAAATGATACTTAAAACAGTGAGAGGGTTACTCTGCATACCAGCTAAGGGCTTGCCAGGAGAGGAAAACGGGGCTCTGGGGTACGGAGTGCTCCCTTAAGTGGCAGAGCAATGGCTAAGGCAGATGGGGCCGGGAGGGAATCGCACAGAAAAGATGGAACTGTCTTTATCAGCTTGCAGTCACAAACTATTTAAAAGTCATCCACTGTAGTCATCATCCGAAGCCTCTATACATTCAACAAATATTTGTTGAGTATGTACTATGTGCCTAGCCAGGGATACAGTAGAATGAGACAGGCAAGGCCTCTGCCCGTACTGGAACTGAAATTCTAGTGAAAGAGACAGCAAGTGCCAAGTAAATCAATGAGGGGACAAGGAATTTACAGCCTGTGATATAAGTGCTCTGCAAGAAATAGATATGGTGATATGACAGGAAGGGAGAAAGAAAACTTAAAATGGAGGAAGTCCCTTTAGATAAGATGGCCCAGGAGGGCTTCTCCTAATAACACCTGAAAACAGAGCAAGCCAGCCAACTAAGAGCCAAAGAAAGGGTGTTCCCAGGAGGGGGCGCTGCAAGTACGTGGGCCCAGGGGCAAGAGCTGAGGCAGCCAGGGCACTGGTGTGGTGAAAGGTGATGGCCAAGTGGGAAGTGACCTTGATGAGGCTAGGAAGGAAGGCACATCCCTGACCATACAAGGCGCAGCGGGCCATGGGAAAGAAAGCGGACTTCAGTAGAGAGCTACTAAAGTTGGTACATTGTAATACATGATTGTGATGATGGTTACAATCGGTACTCTTAAATCAACACACACAAAACAAAGTGTACAGATAAGAGGTCTCCAAAGTCAGTGATAAGAATTAGCAATGTGTCAGAACTCATGGAGGAGTCTTGCTAACTAGAGGCAAACAATTTTAGCCTAAATATAAGATGAAATACAAGGACTACAAGGAGGGTAAAGGGTGGGAGAACATGTAGCTGAAAAGGGAACGCTATAATTAGCAATTAACTCACAGTTAGCAAATATAAAGCACACAGGAAAGCTAATGAACAAGACAGGCTCTGGAAAGTACCCTAAAGAAACACACATAATGGTGGAAAGGCAACTGGGAAATTGATCAATGGCCGATGCCTAAATCCATGAACAGGTTAAATGAAACAACCGGACGGAGAGGCACCATGACAGTGCCCTACGCCTACTTCTGAATCAGACATCAGAGAGCTGCTGAGTAGTCTTCTTCCAGGTTGATCTTTTCTTTTTCTTCTCCCCGCAGCTGAATATAGGTATTCACAACCTGGAAACTCAAAGTTGAACTGCAAATGGCTCTTCTGAATTATCACTCTCCTCTCCCTCTAGGACTCATAATACGGCCTCCTGACTTGAGTCCCCCCTCCCCATGATCTTGAACGCAAATGTATCATTGAGGCATAAGCATAACTCACACCTTCTCCTTGGCACCTCCTTGTTCTAGGGGGTCACTTGGCCATGACTAAGAGGGCAACCTGGGGTTGTGGACTTGAGCAAGGCCAACTGGCCAACCTCAAGATCAAACCTATGACACCAAGAGAACTTGGTGGCCACAAAGGCTGCCCTGAAACAAGCCAGGGTCAACAGCATGGGTGCCATTTCCCAGAGCCCAGTACTTCGCTGGCATCGATGTTATACTACCACATGAAGGAAGAACGGGCAAGGAGTGCCAAAGCACATCCTTCAGCCGGAGCTTACCAAGTGCCAGGCACTTTCACATCCATTACTTCAAACAATCCAGCTACCCCACAAAGTGCAATGCTTGTGATTTTTCAGATGAGACAAGTAAGACTAGGCGAGATTTTTGTTAGTGGCCCAAGGCTACAGTTAGCTGAGTGAGGAATGCTGTCTCACCCACCACTAGAATCTAGCAAGAGTACAGTGCTCTGAGCGGACCCCGATCTGACTTTCTGTCCCACCTTTCATCTGTTATAATTATTATTATTTTTTAATCCTCACCTGAGGACATTTTTTCATTTTTTGTTCAGATAGAGTGGGAGGGAGGGAGAGAGAAACATCGACGTGAAAGGGACACATCAAGTGGTCGCCACCCACACGACCCAACCAGGGCCGGGGACAAACTGCAACCGAGGTACGTGCCCTTAGCGGGAACCGAACCCGGGTCTCTCTGGACCGCAGGCCGACGCTCCAACCGCTGAGCCAAACAGGTCAGGGCCCACCTTTCATCTCATTCTTACCTCCTCCCGCTTTATCTTTCCCACCACAGGAAAGCTGGGTTCCACACCTGGCTTCATCCCAGACTCGCAATCAGCTATCTGCCTCAGAAACCAGCTCCCAACCCTGGATCAGGACACTTCACTGATTAAAGGGCCACCTGCGGGGTGGGAGGTGGGGAAATGACTGGAGCTGTGTTCAGTGTCCCCTGGGAAAAACTCATCAATAGCGGTCAGGAGAAGGAAAGAGCCATCACACCAGATGACAGGGCTGTTCAAAATCTTTATAGATGCCACTTCAAAGGGGACTCAGCCCAGCCACTTCTGTCATAGAGGAAGGCTTGGGGAAAGAAATTCCCTTCCACCACAAACAAGAAAACTGAGACCCGAGTCCAAGTGGAAAACGGTGTTGCTTACCATCTGGGAAACACTGAGCTGGGACCAAATTCCCCCATCACGCCTCCCTCCCGGCCTACGAAGTAGTCAGGCAACAGGCTACAAAAGATGCAGACATAATAACAATCTGAACAGATGTACGGCCTACTTACAATCTCAGACGCATCTACAGCACTCGGGGCTTTGGCTGCGGAAGGCTCCATTCTGTGGGGTATGAAATAGTGATCTGGGGCTGACTGTGTCTGAACTCCAGGCAGGAGTGCGGTCCGTGCTCGCTGAGAACTCCAAGTCCCTCTGATTCACTTGGCAGCTGAATTATTCTAAGCATCCTGTCCCGTACCCAGCTCGCCTTGCCCCTCCCACTACACATTCACACTGGGTGGGTTTTTTTTTTTTTTCATTCTCTGCACTTATTTCTGTCACAACTCAAGTGAAACTCATTTTTCAAAATTAATCCACCCTCCCACACTTGAGACTGTGAAACCTTTATGACCCAGGAGGAGAAAGAGGAAGAAGAGCCACCTAATTAGGAAGCTGTAACTAACATCGGAGAGAAGAGAGTTGGAGAACCGCAAAGTCTGCAGCAACAGCAAAATGGAGATTATTCGAGACAGCTGAAACACTCCACCCAGCCTCCAGGAGGGGACATGCACGGGAAACAAAGGGCATATGGTGTTTGCTTTCTTCAACATCCGTTCTCACCATTAAGAGCTGCACAAGCAAATGCTCATTACTGACATGCGGACAAACCTCACTCCAAAACAGACTTGAAAATACAGCTCACAATCAAATAAATTACTTTGCAAAGCACAGGCATACCTTGATTTTTTTTTTTTTTTTTTTTTACTTCATATAAAGCAAAATTTAATAAAGTCCAAATAACTGGCAGAATGTCTATTTGGCTTCATGAAGCATGAATTATACTTGAAAGAAAAGTCGATTTCTGTTAATTTCAAGTTTATATAGTAACTTGAATACTGATATATTCAGGACAGGATTTTTTCCCCCCTAAGGAGTGATTCCAAGGGGCTAACCTAATAACTAGATAAGAATGATTTTATATTATTTACTATTGGCCATATATTTAAACATAGCTATCCTAAAGCAAACAGGTGTTTCTACTGTGACTTAAATCATGCATCCTCCACATATGTTAATGTTAACACCATACCCACTAAGGCTCACACTATTAAAACTTGCAAAGGTCAACTTCCGTGCACTCTCTGACCAAATTACAACAAATTCCTGAATTGGGGAGCTCTGAACTGATGACACTTTTCACGGTGACATAAAGCCAGTGTCAGCTTCAAAAACGCTTACATCCTACTCCAAGCCTACCCAGAGGAACCCGCTATTGGTCACAGTGCCCACCCATCCACCACAGGGCCCATTCTTCAGCTCCAGAGAGACAGCCTAATAAATTCTAAGCCAATCACTGGTTCAGTATGGGCAGCAGGAACTAAACTCACCCAATCAGACAGACTGTAGAAAAGGATACCACTTACATACCAGCTCTGAAGAAGGAATCAAAGGACCCCACTGCCAATGGATGCCAGCGTACAATGCCTGACAACCACAGAGACACCAGCCCTTGTGTGAAGCCACTGCCAGAAAGACACCGCGGAGAAGAAATGGCCAGAACACAGGTCTCTGAGTCACCTTGAGCAGCTGATCACACTGCCCTCAGGGTCCACCCTATCTGTAGCCTCCCAATTATGTGTGATAACAAACATCCCTGTTTAAACTAGTCCCAGCCAGATTTCTGTTCCGTGCAATCTAAAGCATTGCTGACAGGAATGAGCTGAGGACTAGCTGGAGGGCTAAGACCAAGAGTTTGTAATTTGGCAAACATACTCTTTAAAGTAAATAATACAGTCAGGAAACATTCCCCTTAATGTTAAAGAAAAAGGAGAAATTACAAAGATGAGTGGTTGCCGAGGGCTGGGCGAGGAAATGGGAAGTGACTGCAAATGAGCACAAGGTTTCTTTGGGGGTGATGGACATGTTTGAAAATTAGATTGTGGTGATGGTTACACAACTCTGCAAACATACTGAAAAACCTTGAATGGGACCATTCAAATGGGTGAATCTTAGGGTATGCAAATTAGATTTCGATAAAGCTGTTGTTTAAAAAGCTACAAGGAAACGTGATCATTCAGGAACAGTCACTGGCTGAAGGAACTTTTCCTCCATCCCCATCTGATGGCAGCAGGCCTAGCTTAAAATCCTCCCTCCAATGCTTCTCGATTACCTCTAGAGTCCAAGGTCCTTACAAAGGTACACAAGGTCCCTGTTAACCTCTGGTCTCACATTCCCCACTTCCCATTTAACTCACTGGCAAAGCTTACTTCCAGATACCCTTCAAACCATTCCCACCTCCAGGCCTCTGCTCATGCTACAGCCCACCCTGGGTCACTGACGCCATCCTCTTCACCAGATCTAGTTCTTCCTATCCTTAGGCAAGTTCTTGGGTTGCACTTTGGGCCCCCTTAGCATACTGGGCATGTATCGCAATAGGTTGGAATTCTGTCTCTCCCACGAGGCTATACCCCAGGGTCTGGAACAGCATTCCAGACTTGATAGAACTGGTCTTATCTTTCCCTTTTTCAGGAAGGACAACCAGTTTCTTCTGCAGGTCACTTTTGTCATTGAGGATGGGGGTGGGTGAGCCAGAGGCAGGTTCCAACTGCTCTGAGAAAGGTTCCAAGTGGTTCCCACACCCACTTTCCCACAGTGACTTCAGACTCATCAAGGGATATAGGCGCCTATAACGTGTAAATGGAACCCTGTGAGACATCCCTTATCCCCAACCTTCTGCTTCTCTATTTGAACTCTTTTTGATGCAGAAGATAACAGCAACAATGCTCAATGTCTCTCTCACTATATACACTTCGGAGGAAGAAGAGAGGGAATATACAACCTTTTTTTTTTTTTTTTTTTTTTGCTTCTCATTATGGGGTTTCTCTTTTATTTTTAAGCCTCAGACAAAGTAAGTAAGGAGCTGGGGTAAGAAGAGTCACAAATGCGCCTTGGCCGGTTTGGCTCAGCAGTTAGAGCGTCGGCCTGCGGTCCCGAGAGACCCGGGTTCGGTTCCCGCTAAGGGCACGTACCTCGGTTGCAGTTTGTCCCCGGCCCTGGTTGGGGTCATGTGGGAGGCAGCCACTCGATGTGTCCCTTTCACGTTGATGTTTCTCTCTCTCTCTCCCTCCCACTCTATCTGAACAAAAAATGGAAAAATGTCCTTGGGTGAGGATAGAAAAAAAAAGAAAGAAAAGAAAAGTTGCAAATGCGACAAGAATGGGAAACACTTGCATTTTAAAAAAGACTAGACATGAAAAACAGGACACAACAGATTAAGAAAAGCTGAGAAGACTCCTTCTTGCATGATCTCCGGGAAAAAGATTAATAGTACAATTTTTTTTTTTATCGTCACCTGCAGACATTTTTCCATTTTTTGTTCAGGTAGAGTGGGAGGGAGAGAGAGAGAAACATCAATGTGAAAGGGACACATCAAGTGGCTGCCACCCACACAACCAACCAGGGCTGGGGACAAACTGCAACCGAGGTACATGCCCTTAGCAGGAACTGAACCCGGGTCTCTCTGGACCACAGGCTGACGCTCTAAGTGCTGAGCCAAACCGGCCAGGGCTGATTAATAGTACAATTCAAGATATGTTTAAAAGCCAGTTGCTAGAGAGTTTCAGTAAGAAAGAAAGAGAGAAAGAGGAAGGAAGGAAGGAAGGAAGGAAGGAAGGAAGGAAGGAAGAGGAAGGAAGGAAGGAAGGAAGGAAGGAAGGAAGGAAGGAAGGAAGGAAGGAAGGAAGGAAGGGAGGGAGGGAGGGAGGGAGGGAGGGAGGGAAAAGAAAAGAAGAAAAGAAAAGAAAAGAAAAGAAAAGAAAAGAAAAGAAAAGAAAAGAAAAGAAAAGAAAAGAAAAGAAAAGAAAAGAAAAGAAAAGAAAAGAAAAGAAAAGAAAAGAAAAGAAAAGAGTCATGCTGGGAAAGGAGTGCCACAGAAGTTGTGCTTCGTTACAGCAAAGACAGCAGCAAGCCCTATCTTCCTAGCTTGCCCCAGCTCTCCGAACACCACCAGAAACAAAACCCCAAAGCCAGGAGGATAGGAAAGAGCTGAAATAACACTTTAAATGTGCACGATGGTAATTTCAACTCCTACCTCATAATCATGACTCCTCTTTTCCATATTTGGGCCCCAGCTTCCCTGGACGCATTCTGGGAGACTTCGCAGACATTATCTAATGCTAAGCAGGTCAGCAAACTAACCATTAAGTACTCTCTTTTTCTCTGTGCTCTTTCAATTAAGCCGGTCTGGACGCAATCACAAAGAACTGGTCAGGGCCCTGCCAAGGGGGGTGGCTAAGATTTCTCATGGAGTTTGGGTCAAACAGGAAGCTCTTAAGGTGTCAGAAAGTTTGCCTTTAAACATCTCAACCTGATTCCTACAGTGAAGTTTTCGAAGCTGTCATTACCTAACCCCTCAACCAAAAAACAAAGCTGGCAAGCCCTGGCCAGTGTGGCTCAGATGGTTGGAATATCGTCCCATGCACACCGGTGGCGAGCGCAGGAGGCAACAGATCTCTCTTTCTTCCTCTCTAAAATAAAATTTAAAAAGCTGGTAAATTTATTATCAACTCACTTTGGTAGCTTCCCCCCTCAAAAAATATATCTGCCTGGCCACAGCCCCAGTCATTATTTTTTTGTTGTTGGTGGTGGTGGTACGTGCCCCTATCGGGAACCGAACCCGGGACTCTCTGATCTGCAGGCTGACGCTCGACCGCTGAGCCAAACTGGCCAGGGGAGCCCCAGTAATTCTAACCCAATCCTTTTGGGAATCTTTAGTCTTCAAACTCCCCTAGGTGATTCAGGCAAGCAACAGAGCCCTATGCTAGAAAGGGCTGGGTCAAAAAGGGTCAACTACATTCTTGCCACTAAAAGGACCATCACTTGCAAGCTTCTTAGAACACAGAATCTGGGCCTCCCTACTTCCACCCGCCCTCAGCCCAGACCCCTAATCTCAATCTGTATTTTAACATAATCCCCGGGGAGCCTGTGGTACATTAGGCTCTGTCAACATCTGGCTTCAGAATCTCCAAGGTTGTGTTTTGTTTGTTTGTCCTTCACAAGTGGGAGAAGGAGCAGTGGGAGGTCACATTCAGAATGCACATTCCAAACTTTTTCAGGATCTTACCGATAAACCACAGGGTCAAATCCTGCTCCCTCCCCTCCCCACTCTCCCAGAAACAATGAGCAGTGAGATTAAATGTAAAGGGAGTCAAAGACTAGACAGCCTGCTTTTCCAATTAAAGCGATATATTTTTCCATTTGTGCTGGCAGCATGGACACTTGCTTTACTGAGCATGCTTCAAGCTACTCCTACCTACACTATCACAGCAGCAGAATCTGCAGCATCTTTTAGTATTAAAGAGTTTTACGTGCAGCCCAAGCACACCAAGAACAATTCTTGGAACTCAGAAGAACTACTAATTGTATCCATTCCTAAAAATCAATATACTTCAAGAAACTTTTTAAAAATTCATATGCTTATTTCCCTTCTTCGAATAACATCAGAAGGCATTCACAGGAAGTCCTGGTTCCAATTGAAAGTGGCTGCATATTAAATGAAAGTCTCCTAGTAGCCTAACACCCAGCTCACCCAAGATTCCCAGCAGGTTTGCAGAACCTGACAGATTGGGGTATTCCTGCATGCTAATTACAGTTTGTTTCGCTGTTGTTGTCTTAATG